TCCATTTTTTAATACGTCAAAATTTCCTTTAAAAGTTGATCAGTGTATTAAGGTGCTGGGTATTGGATTTTAATTATTATTCTGGCTGTTGCTGTTATATTCTCTTTCAGGGTTGATTTTATTTTACATTATTCTGTTTTACATTGCTGTAATTTACATTGATTTTAAATGTGTTTTAAGCAAACTGTAACAGTAGTGGTGGGTTCTAGGGTCGGGAGGGGTGACCAACTCCTGAAAAATTTATTATTTGTTGTTTTGTTTTTTGTTTTTTTTTTTGTTTTTTTGTGCAAACACAAAATGATGAAAAATTACAATAATAGTAATAAAAACAATGATATAATAATGATAGTACGACTCTGAAATCTATTATGTGAAAAGAAAGGAAGGAAGTTCTCAGTAGTTAAAATCTCCATTTTAAAGGTCCATTTAGCAGCTGTTAGGAATCTCTGTCAAATCACTCGATCTTCACCAGTCGATGGGCTTTTTAACTTGTTGGTAAAAGAAGTTTAACAGTTGCTGCACACCAGAATTTTTGACAGGTGTGTAGGAGGAGTGACCAGTCAGAACAAGCAACATAAGACTAATATATATTCATAACGAACGTTTCTTGATAGTAATCTTATGTTCAGTGTTGGGGTATGTTTCTTATGCTGCTTGTTCTAGGTTGTAACGGAAGCGTTCAGGTTTTTCTTTTCTTTGTTGCAAAGCTTTTTACCACAAGGTTCATCTTTCAGCACTTGAGCAGCGATTCATAAAACATCTCAACATCCATTTAGTCAAGCCTGTGGTGATTTTGTTGACCTCTTTTATTATTTTTTTTATTGTTCTAATCACTCCACTCCAGTAATGGTGTAATCTGCAGGTTTCAAGAGAGAGTGTTTTTTCTCAGCTTGTATAAATGATGCTTGTCTTTTAGATGTGGTATAAAAATTTAGGTTATAAAGTATAAAGTCAGTTTCAGGTTGTAGCATTTATGTCTTGCTGCTCCAGAAAAAGCGTGGTGGTCCTTTAACTGCCAGTTTCCAGTGCAGCTGTGGGGGCCTCCAGCTGTATGGACACGACAGTTTGGTCACTTTCAGGAGTGTCAGAGGTATGTTTGTGAATCGAATGCTTGGTGCAGTAATAGTAATTAAAAATATTAGTATATTTTGTATTTTCCAACTTCTCACATGTCTGACAGCAGCTCCTATCTAGGATATTTCAGTTACACAGCAGATAATGACCAAAATCATTTAGTCTTGTAGAGAAGCAAATTAATGATGATGCAGAAATTGTTAAAACGTCAAGTAGGATGTGCTGTTTGAGTTTACCCATTAGAGTTAGCGGCTTTGTTGGATAGGTCTATTTCATGCTGCTTGATCTTTATTGCGTTAAGTTTGCCACAGAGTTCTAATTTGTTTTCAGGGTGAGTTGGAGCCAATGTTTGTACACTTTAAACCTCAGAGCTGTGCTGTCTGTAGTTTCCTCATTGACTGTTACAGGCTTTTGCTAGTTCCCTCATTGGTACACAGGTGAAGCCCAGCATGCTTGTTTCCACACCCCTGCTCAGGAATGTGGGAGCTGCAGGTGGCCGAGCCTGTTGGGAGTTGTGTGCCCATGAAGCTCACACTACATTAGTGTGCAGTACACTGCTGCGGGTGTACATTAGGGTAATAATACATAGTCCAGGCTGATATTTTTAACCTTCATTCTGTGGTTACAAGTCGTAATTTTTGTGTTAAGATCCAGACTTTACACATGTGGATGACATTAAATATAGTGTGTGTGGATAAACGGCATCAAAATTAATGACTAAATACCATTTGGTCATTTCTTTATTCTAAAAAAAACATCTGTCAAACACAAACAGTTCAGTTTTCACAATGTAAACAACTTCTCACATTAACACACGAGCAGTTTTTGGATGAAGAAAACAAAGTCAAAATACATGTCACTTTAAAGCCAAATGTAACGATTGGCTGCTTCAATTCTTTCACAGCGTAGCGTCAAACTAGCCTCCGCTAACAGGAACAGGTAGTGTTGCTGTAGGAAAGGTGCAGCATTGAGTTTACAGAACAGGTGACCCCAGGTCTGCTTGAAAAGCCAGTGATAAACGGGTAACTAGGGTGTGAGGAAGAGGGGAGATTCAGCTCAATCATGTCCAGAAGAAATAAGTAGTATAGGTGTCACAGAAAAACTGGGTTCAGTCATCTACATTTATGAAGTGCCCTGATGCCACCACCCTGGGTGAGGAGTGTTTCAGAGGCAGAGACGCTGGGGCAGGACAGACATTAAATGCAGTAGTTCTTGACAGTTCATTGGCTAAAACAGTCAGCGAGCTGACATTACAGCAGAAACCTCTCAGACCTCCATGTGGAGTTTCAACTACCAGAGAGAAAGCTGCCTTCACTGAACTCTGACGGCTTCAGCTAGTTGTAAATTCACTTTAGTAATTATTCTCACATGCTTCCCAGTGAAAAACATAACAACCAGTGCTAGTGTGGGTGTCAGCTGGAGGACCTTATCTGATTTCTTAGATGTAACTCCTGTTTGTATGCTACATGAGGCTACCACCAGCTGGCTAGCTTAGCTTAGCACAAGATGCCTACCAGCACCTCTAAAGCTCACTAATCATGAATTTAATTACTTTAATCCTTACACCTGAAGTATGAAAACAAAGTGTTGTTAAAGGCTTACACAGATCTTGACTATTAGTTGTGAAAAGTTGCCTGTCAACCAGTGGGGACTCCCAGAAGTTACAGGCCTCAACTAAGAAATAGTAGCTGTGTTTTTTTTTTAACACAGATACAATGCCTTCATGTTAGAGGTGCTGTTAGGCAGACTTAGTTCCCTCTGGACAGAGCCAAGCTAGCTGTCTAGTGTACTAAGCTGAGCTACACGCTGGTTGGTCTTGTTAACGCTCATCAAGAAAGCAGCAGCGGCCTACTTCCCAAAATGCCTGCCTCTTGTTTTTTTTTTTTTACTACCTCCCCTGTGTCTAAGGAAGCCAACGTTGTAAAATGTCAACAGCTAACTAGACAATCTGTGGGACAGTGTGTTTTCAAAGTAAAACAGACTTTTCTTTTTCAGTGTACATAAATCTGTAGGTGGGACAAAGTCAACCCAGGGAAGCTCAAAAATCATAACACACAGTTTGGTTCACTTGTTCTTCAGAGCGACCAGATTTGGCTGATTACTGAAAATCTTCCTCAGAGTAACAAACTAAAGCACTTCAACACTGAGCCAGTGACAAAACAAGCTGTGGACAAATGTCTTCTTGAAATGTGAGACACAGTCCAGTTAAATGGCTCTTTAGTGCTCTGCATCATAAAGTATGCACTATCTAAACTACTTACAGTAACTAACCGCCGATCTAGGGCTCACCTATAAAGGCCTAGTGAAAAGAAAACACTCCAGTTAATACTAGTAATACATGGCTATGAAAGAAGAGTGAGAGGCCTCATCTCTATACTCTTTCCTTTTCTGCTCACCATTGAACCAACAGCTTCGATCACCGTTCACTCGCAGCCTCGTTACAGAGCATGGTTTCTTTGTAAAAGTACCTTCTCGCTCCTCCGTTTTAAAGCAAAGCTTAGAAGGAGAAGGCTCATTTCTTCACATCATTCCCACCCACCCAAATGATTTTCTCCTCTCCACCACCTCAGAGAAGGAACAGGTTTGGCTCAGATGTGGGCGATTCTTCCTCAGCCTTTTTTGTCCCTCTTTCATTCATTATTTGTTTTCCAGAAGGCTGTTTGGACAACTTGATAACCGCCCAGTGTAGATACATATATTTAGTATTTTGAATCACACTCCTCCCCAGTCCAGATGTTCAACAGTTGCCATGGAGATGAGCAGGTGGGTTTGCTCTAATTGATCAGGGTTTTCTTCAACAGCTTGATGATCCACCGTGTCTTTTTGTTATTTCAGAGAGGTGTGTGCAGGTAGTTGAGTTGCTACCTTGTTTGAAGTGTATGTGTGTGTACACTAAAGAAGTACGATGTGTGGAGGTAGGTGTTTGCTAGTACAGTAAAGGGGGTTCAGAACACTGCCCTACAAAGTGGACTTGCTGAGGCAGTCCTCACACTCTGCCTGCCACATTGTAAGTGCTGTGATGTCACCTTAAGGACCTGAGCGTGTGCAATTGATCATGTGATGTGTAATGGTCCCAGAACAAAAGGAGAGGAGCGATGGAGTTGCGGGTTGAAGGAATTCTCTCTGAGAACACAGAATGGATTGTGTTTGTCTGCATGCTAATTTGTGTGGGTGTGTTTCTACTCCTACTGTTGTGTGTTTGTGTGTGTGTGTGTGTGTGTGTGTGTGTGTCAGTGTGAGTTGGGCTGCTCCACTTTGAGCCCGACCAGCGAAGGAGGCATCTGCCCGGCAGCAGTGGAGGAGGAGGAGGAGCTGGGAGGAGAAGCCCTGAGGCTGGAGCTCCCAGTGGAGGAGGAGGTCACGGCGGGCCTGATAAGCGGAGGGGGAGGGTGGTTGTGGGGTGCTCGGTTCTGCAGTGGGCGGGTTTGCAGGGGGGGAGGCTGACGAAGGAGGCTGGGGGGAGCCGAAGGAGGTGCAGGGCGCAGCAGTGGAGGAGGCTGAGAGAGGGAGGAATGGGTCTGGGTGAAGGAGGTGGGAGATGAGCTGCTGGTGGTATCTGAGGGAGAGTTCTCCATTTTAACCTGAGGAGGGGGAGAACCAAAGAAGAAAAGACGGTTGGTGGTTGAATTTCACGAGTCTACCGAACAGGGCAGATAAAGGAGGTCCCACAGATGATGACATGGACCTCCTCCATTTCTCATCTGAATCAGTTTTCACTACATGGTACTGTACGACAGCGAAGGAAGCAGCGGTCTTCTTGTGTCTCCATCTTTCATTTACCCACTGTCCAAGTGTTCATCAAAATGAAACAGGTAACAACTCATGTGACAACTGTGCTGCTTTATACTTTAACAAATTACAATATTTACTATTAAAGGATCATCTGTATTTTACGTATTGACAATAAATCCCATAATGGATCCAAACTACCAGTGAACTGATTTGTATCTAAAGCCTGATTATTCCTCTGTGACAGAGCTCCACTGCTGTCCAAAAACTACAACTCTAATAAGTTGGATTTTATTGTTGGATGTTCCTTTATATAACGTGATATTTTGGAGAACAGCAGTGTGATGTGTTGTTCCCGGTGGTCTGTCGCCTGCTCCTGAGAACCAGAAATAATCAACTACTACAAGGTGTGTGTAATAACATGCATCACCTCATCCTCAGCAGCTCCATCTGCAGCTGCTGCCACCTCCTCACCACTCCTCCTGGGGTCTCTCTGTTCTCGGCTGGTGGCCACCTGCTCGGCCGCCCACTCCCTCAGCACCTCATCCAGGTTGAACCTGCGCCGGTAGCTCACAAAGAACGAACTCACCTGAGCAAACGGGGGCAAACAGAGTCAGACAAGAGACAGTGGACAGAGAGCTTTGCTGCGTTCAAGGACAGAGTGGGCAGAAGACACATGGAAAAAAAGGATCATGGAGATTATAGTTAGGGAAAAAAATGCTTATCTAGACAGCGACTGAGAAGAGATGAATCTCTGATAGGCAGCTCGCAGAGAGGAGGGATGGAGGGTCAGAATGAGAAATGATCTATATGAATGTTTCCCGGAGGAAGAGGGTGCTCACCTGAGCCGGTGTCTTGGTCCCTATCACTTGTGCAATGGCTGCAAAATCTTTACCATAACGACGGATGGCTGGAAAGAAGACGGATGAAAAACGTCAGGTTAGTGCTGCCAAAGTCTGTTCACTGATATCAAGGGGCTGCAGAGACAGTTTGCCGTTTTTGTCTGTCAGACACCTAGCAGTGTGTCACAGAGTTTGACCTGCTTCAAACTCTCATCATTACACACATTTATAGGTTCCAGCTTCTGCTTTCTTCTCTAATGCCTCACTGCACAGCTGATGTTGATGAGGTTTAAATTCGAGGGAAGAGGAGTGTTGTCTTTCTTAATTTTACCAGCAAATTGTGGATTAGAACTGAAGAGGAACATGCATGTAATATAAACATTACAGGTAACGCCCCCTTCAATCCTAAGTTCCTCAAAAAGTTCCTGTGGTGGAGACAGGATCTTTTTCTAGCCCCTGGGTGATGCTGTATGCTTATTGAGTGTTAACACATTCAGTACAGCCAGTTCTAATGTGTGGAGAATATGTATGTCTGTCACAGTCTGACTTCTGTCTGTGAATGTGAGGTAGGAAGAGAAGCCTGTGCACAGTGAGGGGACTCGGAGGGAGGGGAAGGAAGGTGGTGCTGCAGCCGTCACTTACCCTGCACAGCCAGGAGCTGCTCCTCTGTCGTCCAACGAGAGTTCATCTTAGAGGCAGGCTGAGAGAAAGGTGAAGTGGTTGGTAAGACAGAGGAGGAGAGAAGGGGTGAAAGTGACTATGAGAGCAAAGAATGGATTAAGACTAATCTCACATGAGGTGAAATAATATCTCAGGGGACTTGGAGAAGGGCAGAGTGAATAAATAAGAGAAAAAAGGGAAAAACTGAAGTGAGATCAGAAACAGAGAAAAGATAATACAGTCAGGAAAAAATAATCAAAGGGGATAAATGAGGGATGTAAAGGAAGGAACTAGAAAGAGAAGTGAAAAAATAGCTGTGCATAAAAACGACTTACTTCAGCGGGTCTGAGAGTGTCAATACCTTCACTCATGCTCTGTTTCACACTACTGTTGATCTGTTTAATAGACTGAACCTGAGGGGAAGAGAGGGGACAGTGTGGTGATGTAACTGGCTGGTAGCTGTATAAGTAAAGAAGCCTCTGTTACTGTAAACCTGCAGGTATCGAGTGGCATTGCTGCTCTGCTGAGGCAGGTAGTTCCAGGTAAACAGATAATACATCGTGTTACCGTACAGCGGTTTGTTCAGTGTATTTTTAAAGCATTTACAACCTTGCATTTATGATCGGATGAATGAAGATGCCAGACTCAAACATTAAGTTCACACCTGTCGTTTGAGTGAAACCAACTGTGTGTCCAGCTGTCGTACAGTTAGCACCCCGGCATCGTGAGAGGCTGACAGGGACATGATGTCTCCCCGGTCCAGATGCATGCCTTTGGGTGGCCTGCGGCGGGCCCTGAGCGGGTGGTGGCGGTACTGAGCCCCGATACTTTCCTTCTTCACTGGC